AATCAAATCACCAAATTGCAGAATGATATTGTTGAAGCTAGCAGTGAGGTTTTAGCGCAGAGTTATGCGAATGTTGACGATAACTTGGTAGAAGATCTCACTAACCAATTGAAGAAAGTTCAGAATGAAATTGAAGCATACCGCGAACGCACCGAGGAACTTGAGGCGGCAACACAACAACTAAAATCCGAGAATAAGGAAAAACACGAGATCAATGACTTACTTTCCCAGCAAGTTAATAAATTACAAAAGGATCTAAACTCGTTGGCCGAAGAATTTTTTGATGCCTCCGCTAAATATGAAGATGCCGATGTCTTGTTACAAAAACAGAGAACTTGTATCTCAGAATTGGAAGCGGCCCTTGAAGCTACCCGAAAACAGAAGAGTTCGGAGTCATCAACTGCCCAAGCTACACCTGTTCTATCTCAACTTGCTGCAGCTAATGAGACCTTGAGGCATACCAACGACGAGTTGAATTCGCAGATTGTCGAAGCTGAATCGCGTTCGTTGACTTTTAGTGAAAAAATAAAGAATTTAGAAAACGAAATAGCTACTCTCAAATCTTCTAAGGACAATGAAGAACCAATAAAAACGTTAAAAGAAAAGGTGAACACTCTTGAAGCAGAAAAAATTGGGTTGGAACAAGCGAATAATAATTTTGCCGAAGAACGTCGCAGACTAAACGCCAAATTAGAATCTTTAATGCAGCAACTTCAGTCTGTAGGCAGGGGTGGAAATAAGACTGCTGCCCATCTTGCAGAATTAAACTCGAAAGTTTTTTCTTTAGAGAAAGAGATAGAACAAGTAAAAGAAAGATCCAAAACCGAGGCTACAGAAATGGAAATGGAAATCGTACGATTAACCGAAGCAATCGAGAAACTCGAACAAGAAAATGATGATGACACCAAATCGGAACGTTTTTCAGCATCACGGAATAGCGCGGATACATCTGTACATGAGAAGTTTTTACAACAAGAGAATAAAATAGTTCAACAAACTGCCATCATTAAAACCCTTCAAGAAAAGATAAGTGAACTCGAGCGAAGGTCCCCTGTGGGAAGTTCGGGTCGAGGAACACCTCAAATTCCAGCAGATTTAGATGCCGTAGGAGGATATCGATCAATCAATGGTCTTTCGGATTCAAGGAAACAAGGTATTTCTCGTGCCACATCACCAACACACTTCAAACCACCACCCACGCCACCGCCAAATCAACCATTACCTCCAACACCGTCAGCGCCATACTCACCACCATCGACGCCAATTCCTGGTACACCTATGATCTCATCGCTACGATCTACGAATTCGAGATTGGACTTGCGTGGTGGCTCCGATGGTGCAAGTACACCCACTCCAGATCCGACATTGGAGATCCAAAAACTACAAAAGAAAATAACAACAATGGAAGCAGAAAAGACGCAATATAATCAATTGGTTGAAACACTAGAAGCGTCACTCAACGATACAGAGGAGAATCTCAGAGTAGCTAAACAGCAATTACAATATTTGCAACGTGAAAAAGGTGATCTCCTGAATCAAACGAAAAGCCTGAAAACTCAGTTAGAGGAGATGGCCATACAATTTGAGGATACTAAAAATTCAGTGCAAGAAGAAAAGAAAGTTATAGAATCTGTATTGGAGGAAGAGAGACGAGCCAAAGAATCTGCCGAAAGAGCAAGACGGCAACTTGAGTCTCGTATGGAGGAACTAATGGCGAAGAAACATAAATTCATGTGTTTCTAAAATTTAAACATAAAAATATTTAATGAATTTTTAAAAAAGTAAATAATTTTTTACTATGTTCAACGATTCTTTAAAATTTCTCATTATCTTTTTTGTAGCATAATTTTTATTTATTGATTACATCCTTGATATATACTTATAGAACTGTATATTATTAATATATATAAATCAATGATACTGTTGCATCTTAAAAAAGTAAATATCCATTCTTATATTTTATTCAGTAAGCTTTTCTTTTGCCTTGACAAGGTTAAAATCGACTTTTCGTGAGTGATAACGAATGAGCACGAATAATCCATCCTTTTATGAGTTTATTTTAAAAAAGGTAGAAAAACAAGAGCCCGTGGTAGACTTTGTGCCACAATCCAATGAAATATGGTTAGAATTTTTGAAATTTATTTTCACAATGTCAACTTTCTTCAGTTGATCATAATCCCTGAGGGTTTGAGAAAAATGTGACGCGCCTACATTAGAGCCAATCTCCACATCAATAATATATTGTATTAAATTTAAAAGCGTCTTGGCTTTTGCTTATATTTCAAGTGGTTTAGATATGTGTAAATTATCAATAAGAGTTATATAGCAAGGCAAATATTAATGGTTTTCTTTTTTATATCTGCAGTGTGGTGCAAAAAAGCTCAGAATATATCTTTATTTATAACTTAATAATTAATTATTTAAATTGTATAAAATTTTATAAATATATTCTACAATACTTTAAAAAAAAATTTCTTATAAGTTATATACAGTGGTGGCAATAAATAATGGCACTCATATAATTTGCTCTAATTCGCTTAAATTTTATTATAAAATTATAA